ATCATTGACTATAGTAACAACTTCCACTTTCCTTGATGAATCAGCACTTTCTTTCTTCTGGCCTGGTCTCCTGATACACAGATCTTTTCAAAGCCATATTGATAAGCCATCCTATGTCTCTCAGAGCTCCAGGGGCTACTCCAAACTCTAAAACCTCCATTTCTATTTTCATACTTTATAATAAAGAATAATATCCTTCCACAAATGGCACGTTTATTCAGTTCTTCTGTATTAAGAAAGACCTGGAAAGATTTGGCCCCTCTGACATAAATTGCTATCAGCAATTCATTTAGATGTATGTCATTTGCCATTCTAAACTTTAAACTCTAAGCCACCCAACAGTATAGCCACCTTGGATCAGCTCTTGAAAAGGAAGCAATTCTTTCTGTCCAGTGCTGTCTCTTTTCCCTTACACACTTTGAATTCATGCTTTGCTTGTTTTCACCCTCATCCTGTTACTCACTTTACTCCTTTTGTTTTCCGCTCTCCATAAGTGACCATTCTGATGTCATCCTATGACTTTTTGCTGTACCAATATGGTTTATTCACTTTTTCTTTCTCTACAATAATTTCACATGTTACAGTTCTATATTATTACTTAAAAAATGCAACCTAGTTATTTGAACTTTTTATAATGGCATCATTTTTTCTATTAGATTGTTGTAATTTTAAAATCAGGAAGCCTTGCTGATCATATCTGTCAACTGCCTGACTTTAATTGGACCTCTCTGCTTCCCAATATATTCTTTCATAATCCTTCTATTCATGTGTTCCAAATGTTTTCCAAATTCCAAGCGCTTACACCTAACGTTCCTTCCCAGAATATGACCTTGCCTCTTACTTACTTTACTAGAAAAAAGTAGAATCCATCTGCCCAAATCTCTCATCCATCTTCTCTACATCAGAATATCTGTATCCTTGTTATGTCCAAATTTCTTTATTTTAACAAAGCTGGTTTGTAGATTATTTTAAATTGTCTATGTAGACCTCTAAGTTTTTCTTCAACTATCTTTTCTAATCTCTTGACTCATATTCATAGAAAATTGTCTCCCAACAGCTTTCCCAGGTTTCTTTTCAAATAGATCTGAAATAGTCTATACTCACTGCCTTTGTTGTCTTACTCCCTATTAACTCCTTGCACTTTTGCACTGTCATTCCACTGAAAACACTTCTCTCCAAGATTATCAGTAACATATTTATAAGTCAATCAAATAGTCTTTTCTTAATTGTTCTTGATGTTGTGCAGAATTTAACATGGACCATCCTTTTTCCCTTTTGCCTCTAAACTACTACACTGTTTTCTGTGACTACTCTGATTCTCAGGTCTCTTTCCCTTGCTCATCTCTTTTTTCTTCACTCTTTTTGTTTTTTCATTCTGACTGTTAAATGTGAACATATCACATGTGTTCTCATTCTACATTTGTTGTCTCATATGTCTTCTACTTATGAGTTTCAGCTGCCACTTCTGTAGGTTACAGTAATTTCCTTTTCATATTCCAAAACCCACATGCCCTCTCAGTATTTTTGCCTGTATGTAATAAGTTTTAAAACTAAGAATCAATTCCAATTGACAGTTCCAAATCAAATCAATTGACTTTTTTAAATTTTGGACATTCTCATTCTATCAGTCTTCACATTGAAATATGAGAACATAGTTGAGTGGACTCACTTAAATTCAACGGTCTTTTAACTGGAATTCTTTACACCATTATAATCCATTTTCTACATTATCACCTAAGAAATCACTCAAACATAAAATATTACAGAGTTTGTCAGAGTTAAAGACTAATTCTTTAACATTTTTATACAAATCCTCCATGAACGGATGGATGACTGCTTACCCCTGTGCTGTATTTCCACACCACCACAAAATAAAGTACTTGATTTGGCCTAAATTCACTGCTCATTTATTCAAAAATTTCTGAAAACCTACTATGAACCAGGCATTATGCTGGTTATAAATATGAATGAGTTATGGTCTTTTTTAAGAGGGAAATAAAAATGTAAATAAATGCCATGGAGTGTGATTAATAATGCAAGGATACAGAGTGGTTTCTCCCTGAGGCTCTTAAGATGATAATATAAAGCTTGACTTAAGTATTGAAGGATGACTTAGAATTTGTTATATAACCATGAAAGCATATTTCAGGTAAAGGAAAAACATGTATACATTGAACCCCTTATTTGAAGAGCTGTAAATCAGAATGACCAGACTGTAAAATTGAAGATGGGGATAAAAGGATACAGTGATGGGAAGGTTGGGCTAAATAATAAACACTAGAGACCTTGTTTGTGTCAAAGAAGTGTGGACTTTTCCCCAAATAGTATGATCAGATTTACTTTTTAAAAAGAAGTTGCTCCATCATAATAAAAATTTCATCAGGCAAAATTTTTTGACAAATGCTAAAACTGGTGGTTGAAAATAAAAGATATTTACATAGTCTATAAATATCTCTCCACTTGATAGTGATTACAGTGGGAAACATAGTAACTTAACAGTGGAGAAACATGGTAGATACTACCTTAACAACACACTAATGGGACAAATCAACATCATGAGCCTCCTGATAAAACGCACTGGGAGGAATGCACCATCACTTCTGGCACCATCACTTCTGTGTCATTCCTACCAAAATGCGGATCCTGAATCTAATCATGAGGAAACATCAAATAAATCTACACTGAGAAGCATTCTACATCACTGGTCTGTGCTCTTCAAAACAGAATATAAAAGACAAAATTAAAAAATGAAGATTAAAGATTAAATCCACATGAAATATGTATGTGATACATAATACTGGATTTTTTCCCCTATAAATGGCATTATTGGAACAAATGGCCAAATCTGAATAAGGTCTGCAGTTAAGATAATAGTAGTGTATCAGTATTCAATTTTATGATTTTTCTGGTTACATAGATAATTTCCTTTTTTAAGGAAGTATGCATTGAGCTATACATTTAAGGGTAAAGGGGCAACACAGGGAGGGCCAGATGTACTTGTGCAGGCAGCAGCATATGTTACAGGAAAGGAACCCCAAAATAAAAAAGACAGACCTTATCCTTACTCTGGAATCTAAGCAAAAATCTTCACCAAGGAGGGAAAGGGAGACTTTACTCCCCTAGGACGTTCCCAGGGAGGAAAATGTTGCAACTTACTCTCAAATGATTTTTTAAAACCACATATAGAATATGTTCACATACAGAACATATTTGTAGCAGCATTATTCATAATAGCCAAAAAGTGGAAGCTACTCAAGTATCCTTCAACAGGTGATGATAAAATGTGATACATATACACAATGGAATATTATTCAGCCTTAAAAAGGAAGAAAATGCTGACACATGCTTCAAAATGGATGAACCTAAGGACATCATGCCAAGTGAGAACTAGTCACAAAAGGAAAAATATTGTATGATTCCCTTTATACTAGGTATCTAGAGTAGTCAAATTCATTGAGACAGAAAATAGAATGGTAGTTAGGGGCTGGAGAAGGGAGAAATGAGTTATTGTTTAATGGATACAAAGTTTCGGTTTGGGAGGGTGGAAAGTTCTGGAGATGGATGATGGTGATGATTTGCACTACAATGAATGTACTTAATACCACTGAACAACACACAAAATGATTAAATGGTATCTTTTAGTACAATTTTTACCTTCTAAAGATAAATATGGAGCAAAGAATAGAAACAGATCAATTAAAAGGGTGTGGTAATAATCCACTGTAGGAGTAGAGACAGAGAAAATGAATGGATCTGAGATGATTTAAGTGGTATGATTTAGAAACTAAAAGGATATTTTAAACTTTTCTATCCTGTCTAGCTTCTGGTAGATGGTGGTACTGTTAACCAAAAATACAATAGATGTGAGTAGATGCCCAGGCTGCTATTTTTGCCTGAGCATTTACCAAACATTTCCCCTTACCTTACATGATATCCTGGAATGAATTAGTCTTTCGCTCCTCCTAGAAGTTGTGATAGCATCTTTTGCATTGATATCACAATGTGGAAACAGATTATCTTTCTTCTATACACTGAGCTCCTTGAGAGCAGAACCAGTTACTTTATCTGTGAATCCATGGTATCTTTCATAGTGTGTGCTCAGTAAATGTTTGACTGAAATCAGTAGGCTATCAAGCACTTACACTAGTTTTCATTGTATATCTTATATTTGCCTCTTTCTTTCCAGGCATCCAAAATTCATATACTATTTCAAAAGTCTTATAATTAGTCTTTCTACTTCTAGACTGTAATTACTCTGTAGTAACCTGTATATTGTTACCAGATTAATGAAATTCTATTTTTTTGGAGTACCTACTTAAAAACCTTCAATATTTTCCCATTATCTAAATAATAAAGTCCAAATTCACCAGTAAAGAATTGCGAATTTCCACATTATGCTCTCAGAATTTATCGTGTTTATTTCTAATTGTATTAATTTTATTCAACACGTATTTGAGAACCTGCCTTGTACAAAGCTGTGTGAAGGAAGGAAGTTTGTTAAATATGACATATAGTTACTATCTTTGTGTTCATTTTTTGATCCCTTGTTTCCTTTTACTACTTCATTTAATCTTAGGGGAAAGTAATTTTTGGAAAGCACTCAGCAATATTCACATTTAAGTAAGTAGTTCCATTCTAGGACAAAACATGAGTAATATAATTAAGTTTAGGACAGGTGGCTAGCCACCCAGTACAATGTCTGGCTCATAATAAAAGTTCAATAAATGTTTAAACTGAACTAATTATGTATAAAATTTTAAAGATAGAAATTTAAGCTTAAGACTATAACAAAGAAAGTTACTAATTTATTGTTTTAAGCCTTTGGAAACCTGCCTATTTTTGCTTCATAGTAATTCAACTGCATTTTTGAATTTTACTTGTTTATTATTGTTAGTAGTTCTGTCACTTTGAAACACAAAATGTTTTGACAAAGTCAAAACAAATTCAAAAATACTATATTAAACTGTTTTCAGAACTTTCTTTCTGTACTTTTTTTATAGGTAATATGTAAAGTGAGATGTGCCACTGAACTTGACAAACACAAGTAAGTTTCATGAGTAGCAAGACCTGAACTTTTTTCACACTAGATCTCCCAAGGTAGAAGAGCATGGTAGTTGAGGGTACCTTAGCAGTTTTACAGAAAATCAAGTAGTTAGATTAGTTCATACGAAAATGAACTGAGGAACCTATAGTTCTCCCCCGTCATCCACATGACTGCCTAACATTTTTGCTGTTCTGCCACTATCTGGCCTCATATGTCAGATGTAGTTTCAGAGGGCCCACAAATCCTAAAGTTGGAGTATGCTTTTTAGGGCTAGGATGTTCCACGAAGTAAGTAATGTTTAGGTACTGGATATCCTCAGAAACGGGAGTGCTAAGCTAGAGCATCAGTAGTCTCAAGTTACAGACCCATTGCCCACTGACTTGCCAGTCATGCAACTTATTTAACCTTTATGCCTTAGTTTCCTAAACTATTATAATCCCCTGGATAGGTGGATAATTGCAAGGTCATTTTTGGATTTCAAGTTATATAAATATTATTATTTAATCGGAGAGAATGTTAAGATCTAAACTAAAAGCTTTGTACATTGCATGTACACTTAACAAAGATTGCTTGTTACAAATTACTTTCCACATTACTTGTGTAAACTATATCCAAAGGCAGACAACATTTTATGAGTTCCACTATTGAAAATGACCCAAAATAAAGATATCAGGATACCAAATAAATTTCTGGGTCATATTAATGTGGGTTGTAAACATATTTGAACTAGAATTACTTTCATATAAATAGCTATTACAGCTACTTTCTTGAAGAGTGTTTGTGAAGTTCTCTTAGGGGGAAGTAGTTAAGTATCTCATTTTCAGAGTTGTTCTATATGCATAGTAAATATGCAACTTTATAAAAAATGCAGTATTGATGAGGGCTGAAAACATTGCATATACTGTCCCTATGTTCTTCTTCATTCATGTCTGAAAGTAATGTTTGCTGTGGATAATCAGAGGTTCATAAAATTGAACATTGTCTAAAATATGTTTCCCTTCCCGTAAATTAATATTAGTAATCAATTTAAATTTAGATACAATATATTAATTTTCCAGACAAATTATAAAAGCCTGGTAATTCTTGGAATGGAAAGGGCAATGAAAATTTGTTTAATAGTTATTAAAATGAAAAATTAGTATTAAAATATTCCTATATTTAAAATTGAATTAGTGTTAAAATATTCCTTTATTTTCTTTTCTTTTCTGGTAGAAGCAACTGAATTCAAGTCAATGTGAGGTTAATTTTAAATTAATGCTTTAAAATCTAATGCCATTTTAAAATGGTTTAGATGCTAATTTCGTAACAGCAAATATATCCCAAGTAACTCTGAGTGATTATTGAATTTGTATTAAATGAAATTACAAACATTTTAAACTGAAGAAATTATTGTACCTGAAGTAACATATTAATTCAGAATTAAATTTAATTTCTCAGTTTTATAAACATCTAATAAACTCATTTTTTTCTTTCAGGATTCTATTGCATTTGGGTTTTATACTGGCAAGCCTTCTGTTTTTAGTGGTGAACTTGACTTGTGCAATGCTAGTCCACGGAGATATCCCAGAAAATCAGTTGAAATGGACTGTGTTTGTTCGAGCATTAATTAATGATAGCCTGTTTATTCTTTGTGCCATCTCTTTAGTTAGTTACATATGCAAAATTACAAAAATGTCATCAGCTAATGTCTACCTCGAATCAAAGGTAAGTATATTTCTTAAATTTATGCTTGAAAATATAACTTCAAAACCTCATTCTATGAAGCATATCTTAATGGAAAGTTTAAATTTGTTTTTAAAGTATTCTGAATGTCAAGTAGATTTTTCAGCATGAAAGGATGATCACAAGAAATTAAAAGGTATTCAAACCTGGCCTTTCCTAAACAATGATTTTTAAAAATATATATATATCCTCTCCATTGGAGGATAATTAAATGAAATAATCCAGAATTTATATGACTATATCACAAATAGTTTAATATATAAACCACACTAACAACTTAAGATTTTATCAGTAAAGTTGGCAGGCAGTATTGTCATTAAACAAATTTACCAGAGTATGTCTGCCTTCATTTGGGTGAGCAGAGTTAAGATGTCATACTGGTAAAATGGTATCTATTTATATAAAGGTTTAGAAAGTATTACTTTACCCCATAATATGAAATCCCTATAATATTTGAAACACCTAGTCATGTAACTAAATTTGTAAATGCCTTGCTTCTCCCTTTTCTTTTATTTTGGGTCAGCAAACAGACGCCAAATGCTAACCCATCAACAAAGAGCCTTGGAAATTTCTACTGTTGTTGATTTACAATGTGGCTAAGTAGTGAATCAGTCGTCACAGTGTATGTTGGCATTGGGTGTGGGAGTACAGATGTGTGAATTTGGGGGTGAGGGTTATTACATAAACACAAGCTTGCTTTAATTTGACATCATTGCCTATTTACTGAAGATAAGCAAAATAGTATCTAAAACAGCTCTCTGAAATATTTTTACATTTCTATATTGTTATCCTACAGTCCTAGTAAAAGTATTATAATTAAATACATGATAATCAACTTATCCGTTAAATTTAAGTGGAGACTATAACTTTACTTTTTAAACATATCAGTAGAATGCAGAATAAATACATATATATACACAAAGACAGAGCAAGAAAGACTTTCAAAACAGTCTTACCTGGGAAATTATTTTATTCAGCTTCTATGCTAAAATGTTAGTTACTAACATTTAAATATTTTAGCTAATTCCTGGCTTCAGTTTATGAAGCCACTTATGATACATAATCTTTTGGTGTAACAACAGCATCGTCACTTAGTACAATAATCACCCCAGAATTCATACCTATTGCATGTCCGGGGATAAAGCATGGATGTGGTTGAATTTTAAGAGCTTCTTTTTTGGATACCTAGTAACTTTCTAAGTTTCATTTTACTTGCCATGAAATAGGTAAGTCTCTGAATATAGTATAGTTCCTAATACGTGAAGAAAAGTTCATCTAGTGAATCCTCCAGAATTATTTCAAGCATCTTCCCCTATCATATGAAAGGTTTTTTTCATTTTTATTATTACTTTTTTTTAATTTAAAAAATGCATGGATTCAGAATTCTCTAGGAACACTAAAGAGAAACAGGTTCAAATACATACCTATAAAGATAAATAAGAGATTCTAGATTATTTGTATAATATTGTACTGCTATGTAGTTCTTGGTCTTTCTAACTAGGCTGTAAACATCTTTATTCAAAGTGCCCATCATCTTGCTTTCATGTTCTTGTAAAATCACTGGGCTCATTTTTGGTTTCTGACTTCTGTACAATACACAGAAATGCTATTTCTATTACGTTTGTTGAGCATCTATCCCCTCCACTTTCAAACTGACCCTTTTTCTTGCTATCCCTAACAGTGTTTCCTTAAAGCTCAGATTTTGGTCTTGTTTTTTTTTTTCTCTTTCTTTCTATGTATTTGGTGATAATGATATCCTTCGTAATTTGTCTTAACCACATCTTACCTACCTTTTTTCTAAGTGCACACAGTATGCTCCTGTCTCTATATCCTTGTCATGTTTCATCTTATAGGAATGTCTCCCCATCCCGACCCCTATTGCTCTATACCTGTGTGTCCTTATCTTTCCTAACTTTAAAGGCATAACTCTAATGTTTCCCCTTTTTATGAACTCAATTTGGTCTCTTCTCCATCTACAAGTAAAATTTAGAAATAACTATCTGAGTTCTCTTAAAATTTTATTTTATTCTTTTAGCAATTAGGACAGTGCTGTGGTTTGGTTCTCTTTTCAAAGTAGCAGTTCTAACCTGCTTTTTAAATACTGGTTGTCAATTTATATAATTTACTTCTGCTGTTTCATTTTTTTTACTCTCTTACATATTTAAGGTTTTATTACTTTGTTTCATGTCTATATTTCTATATAGATACTTCCTTATTACTTAGCAAACTAATAGAGGCATTTAGAGCAATATGTTTTCTCCAGTATGACTTTGGCAGCTTTCCATAATCTTGTTATACTGTAGCAATATTCTTGTTTAACAAAAACAAAGAAAATTTTCTACTTGGATTTCAGCCATGTCTCAATCCTTGCATATTTGCACAACAGTGTAAGTGAGATATTATCTCTTTATATAGGTCTTCCTTCAAGTCACTTTGGTGGGAAGTCTAAAATTCAGACATCTGTCCCACTCAGGCTCCCTAACTTCCATAAGAGGTAATCAATTTTACCCTCTGCTTGATTGCCCATGCATATTAATTTGGCCTTCAAAACAATGTAGAATTTCTGTACTCCAGATTCTTAAAGAAAATAAACAATTGTTACTCTAAAAAGCTTAATTGGCAGAAAGATTACCTGTTGGAAGTACAGTCTGTCCATTTCCAATCTATTCTACATTTTATCTTCAGCCCAATCCAGATCATTACAGTTTTGTACTAAGACTGTATTGTAACCTGGATAGAATTGTGTGTTCTGACCTACACTTTGACATCATGCTTTGGTCTACATCAAGAAATATATAAGAAATTTCTTGTAAGAAACATATCGCAAAGTCACTATTGTATAATGTTGTTGAGGATGTTATCTACACAGTGTTCCCCAGAAAAGATCTTTGTCTCCATTTCAGTTCCAAGTAAAACTATTTATTAAATCTTTCTTTCTCTGGCTATTATGCTGTTCATTGGCACATAGGGGGCTCGCCTCTATATCAATTATAAACGACCTTAGCATCTATTTTTGGTTGTAGCTCTACCTCTAGTTTTATCTCATGTTCTTACTGCCCCTGCCCCAAGCCATCTCACCCCCACACACACATTCCTAAGTTTATTTTTCATTCTGTGTGTATCTCTGTAACTACTTCAAATTCTCTTTTGAAATGAGGGTCGTATAAATAAAAAATGGTGTTGGATATAATTTTGAGTATGTTTATATCTCTTTTTTCAGGTATTGATTTTTTGATTACTTTGGAAATATCTTAGTGAGAAACAGTGTATCATAGTGATTGAGAACTGGAACCTGAGATTAAAAAGATAAGGATGTAAATCTCTTTTCTCCTGCTTATTGGCTTTGTGACTGTACAAGTAACAGCGTCTCTAAACTTCACTCTCTCACCCTTGTTGTTAGGATAAGAGCAGTACCTACCTTATAAAGTTGCTATAAGAATTAAGTGAAAATGTTTAGGACAATGTCTAGCACTCGGGAAGCACTTATAAATGTTAGCTTTTGTCATGCTAATTGATTATAATGTAGCTTCAGGAAATACTTAAATACCTGAAACTATTGGCAAAATTTATCTGAAGAGGAGTTCTACATATGTAATCAAATTATCAGAAGGAACAGTGATCCAAAAAATAATAAGCATCATAGGTCAGGGTTTCTCTTCTAAATATTTTAATTTTACTTGACTCTATTTATGTACTGTTCCACCCAGATTTTGATAAGGTTTCAAGTCTCTGATAGATTACATTTCATCCAATATTTAAGTAGTTTTTCTTAGAATTTTTTGGAGCAAATATTGTAATGGTCTTTTTAATTCTAAGTACTTTTTTTGGTAATCTTTAGTATCTTTTATTATGATCTAAATTTTCTTTTATTTGTATGGGAATGATTGACTTCATATTATCTTCTAACTTTTTGTCTGTTGCTAACATTTCAATTATGTCTTGTTTACTTAGACAAAATATTATATGGATTTTTATTTTTTTTAAACCCTATGGGTTAAACAAAGAATTTGTGCTTATTGACATGATTGTTACTATTGGTCGTTTTCTCCCATTGACTTGTTTTTATTGCTGTTTGCTTTGCCTTCATTTGTCTGATTTCTGTGGTACATTTGAATTTATTTACTTTTTCTCAGACTTGTAACTTCTACCATTAAAATGCAGCCTGATAAATTTTTTTCATTCTAATACTGCTTTCCATTTCATAAATTATAAGTTTAAAATATAGAAGATATATCATTTTTAATGGACAAAATAATTTATATCACAAAAAAGGTTTAAACCACTGGTAGATGCTTAGTCCCTGTAATTGCAAATTGGAATTATCTGTATGAAAGATCACTCAAAGACAGGGTGAGAATAAAAGTTAAGCCTTTAGGCTTATATCTGTGTTCATGGACATGCACAATTTTATATCTGGATAAGAACATAAAAGGAATCATTGTCTGATATTCAAGATCAGCTAGTATCCTAGCCTAGTCAGCCATTTGCAAATCAAGTATTCTCTCTCTCTCCTGAATTCTAAGCAGTTTTAATTACTGTGTATATCTTTCTGTCCTATGTTCACTTAACCCTTGATCCATAATAATTGATGTATTGTGACGGGAGGCAGCATCAGCATCTTGCAGAGACACAGTACCATTGAACTAAACTATATTTCTGATCTTTCATGCAGACCAGCTGATCCTCTAAGCTTAAAGCAGTGGTTTATGGTAACTTAGGCCATAATTAAAGAAACAAGCTAAATACTGTTAGTGAATCTCTTCTACCACCATGAAATATGACTTAAGCAGAATTTGGGGAGGATGTTGGTAGAGAAATAGAGGAAGCCTCAAATCCTGATTATAAATTCTGCCAAATTTTTATCAGATACCTGAATATATGCAGGACAGAACTCCAATTCTCTGTAATAGGTATGGTTGCCCCCTTCTCAATATTCTGTTACCATTTCTTTCTTGAGTTACTGGGATTTACTTTATCATCTT